CCCCCCTCGCACACACCAGGGGGCCCCCCCTCGCACACACCAGGGGGCCCCCCTCGCACACACCATTACATGGAGGAGAAATGTTTCCACCTCGCCCAGCTGACGTCTCATTCTATTGCAACGGAAAACATGGCCGTGCACGCTGCCGTCGCTGAATGATGGGAGTAAAGCATTGATCGGCTGTAATCAATAATCAATAATAAAAGATACAATGACGAGTCAACACAAAATGATTTCACAATACGGGACCGCATCCTCGCCACAAACAGAACCTCCCCACGCAACAGGGCTGTCCAAGTGCGGCACCCGGGGCCACAAGGCTTTTCAGCTTGGAGTTACTCTCTCTATAACTTATTATTCTAGTAGCGCCAACCCAACCCACCTGCTGTAGGAGGAACTACTAGTCCCAGCAGGACTGGCAGTGCAAGTCCAGGGAAGTCAAAGGGATTTGGAATCCAGTTTCGGCATCAACAAGTCCCTCAGTGCTGGGAGAGATCAATATTGAACATCCAACACGTTACCGGGGATCTGAAGATAATTCCAGTCAGAGTTCCTACCTCCGTCGTGTCTTTATTGCCAGAGACTGACCCGGTGACCATCATCACCCAGACAGAATGTGATGGGTTGTGAGAGTTGTCACCAGAACAGGAAGTGAGGGGGAATCTTCCAATGGGGGGACACCTGTTTCTGTGACAATTGTGTCCGCAGGACAGGAAGTCAGAGGGACACATAACCCGCATATAAACCTTCTCTGCTGTATGAACTTTTTCGTGTCTTTAGATACATTGTGACTGTTAATCAGCCGCCCGGTACATTATATATAAGAAAGGATGGTCATGTGACTCACTTCCTGCACCCCGCACAATGATCACATATGACTCAGCAGGACTAGTGTAAGTTATGTGACCGCTATGTGCAGCATCAGCTTTCCCGGCACTCTTCCTTATCCCGGATTATGCTGAGGGCGGCTGCTTCTGGTAAAGGCGGAGTACTAGTTAGTCCCGGTGTAAGTGACCCGTTAGGCTGGGCACAGAGGAGCATGCTGGTACTACCAGTCTATATATAAAACACATTCAGCAATCTCAGCACTTCCAGTTCCATTTCTAGCCGGCTATCCTTGCCTCCGGCAGACAGGTCACCCCACCCCCGGGTCATTGCCATCCGGTCACCGCATAGTTGTCCTGGAACCTGGCAGACACTTGGCCATTGTTTGGGCTGTTAAGACCTAATCCTGGTGATCTCTCCAATTAGTCCCGGCCCCATTAGAGCAATCGCTGATCATCTAGTCCTAGTAGTCTAGTTAGCCCGGAGGTAACCCTCTGTAGCCATGACCGTGCCAGCAGCTTGCTCCTCTAGTTAGCCCAGGCACTAATGGCATCCCGGTCAGTAGCTAGCCCTAGCACAATCCATCTGACCTCTAGCTAACCCTGGAACTGGAAGCTTAGGCTTTGGTTAGCCCTGGCACTAGTAATGGTGGGATCCCTGGCACTAGTATCGGTGGGATCCCTGGCACTAGTATCGGTGGGATCCCTGGCACTAGTATCGGTGGGATCCCTGGGCAGCCCTGGCACTAGTAACGGTGGGATCCCTGGGCAGCCCTGGCACTAGTAACGGTGGGATCCCTGGCACTAGAAACGGTGGGATCCCTGGGCAACCCTGGCACTAGTAACGGTGGGATCCCTGGCACTAGTATCGGTGTGATCCCTGGGCAGCCCTGGCACTAGTATCGGTGGGATCCCTGGGCAGCCCTGGCACTAGTATCGGTGGGATCCCTGGGCAGCCCTGGCACTAGTATCGGTGGGATCCCTGGGCAGCCCTGGCACTAGTATCGGTGGGATCCCTGGGCAGCCCTGGCACTAGTATCGGTGGGATCCCTGGGCAGCCCTGGCACTAGTAACGGCAGGTGCTCTGTGTAGCCCGGGCACTAGTAACGGTGCCATCTCCGGTTAGCCCTGGCACTAGCAATCATGTGATCTCAGGGCAGCCCTGGCACTAGTAAGGGTGTGATCCCTGGGCAGCCCTGGCACTAGTACCGGTGCGACCCCTGGCACTAGTACCAGTGCAATCTCTAAATAGCCCTGGCACTAGTAGTCATGTGATCTCTGGTTAGCCCTGGCACTAGTAGTCATGTGATCACTGACTAGCCCTGGCACTAGTAGTCATGTGATCACTGACTAGCCCTGGCACTAGTAGTCATGTGATCACTGACTAGCCCTGGCACTAGTAGTCATGTGATCCCTGGTTAGCCCTGGCACTAGTACTATAATCTCTGGTTAGTCATGAAACTAGTAGTCCGGCCTGTAGTTAGTCCTGGTACTAGTAGTCACGTGATTTCTGGTTAGTAGTCCTGGTTCCATTAGTCCGTCCTGGCGGTAGCAGTCCCCCCCGGTCACGCCGGCGGAGGACCGTTCAGTACCTGTCTTGGGCCGGCTGCGGTTGATGTGGTTCATGTCGTGCTCGCTGGGGCTCAGTCTGTCCTTCCTGCGGCTCCCCTGCCCTTCCCGGGGGTTACTGTTCTCATCCTGGGCCACCGGCTCCTTGTGCATCGTCAGCGCAGCGAGAGAAGAATGAAGACCGGAGACACCGACACACACACAGACCTCACCCACACCGGCCGGGAGGAGGAGGAGGGCCTATCGAGGGCGGAGACACTACCTGCCACTCCCACAACGGCCGAGAAGAGGGGGAACAGCACGGAAACCACACCCAGCCCGGCCAGGGAGACACGCGATTGGAGCAGAAGGCTGGCGAGGTGGAGACTTCGTGGAGTCCACGCCTACGTGCCCCAGCGGGAAACAGAAAAGAGAAGGAGGGGTCTCGTGGGGCGGAGACACCGCACCTACTGACGCCAGCAGGAAAACACCAGCCGGAACAGAGAAGAGAGGGTGGGGCCTGTCCGGGCAACTACAGGCCAGAGGGACGGGGCGGGGCCGGCGTGGTCAAGACGGTTGGCGGCCACGTCACTGCGCAGAGAGTGGTCGCCGCTAGAGGGACTCCGCCATATTGTTGGTGGGAAACAATACAAATGAATATTTTGTTTATCTTGTAACAATACAGAGAACCTGTAATAAAGAAACATTGTAAGCAATCTTTAGCTTGCCAATAGACTGCGAGCTTTTAGATACTTTCTGGCATTTTATAATAATTCCCAGGGTACTGTGCAGCTGTGCCATCTAAAGATCACTGCTGCTGCTTGGTGATTGGTCTGCTGCTGTCACATGGGGATGGGAAGATTTTCACAGTGTCAGGTCTGAATGAAGCAACTTGGAACTTACACAATCACAGTGCTGAACTGATTATTTTAATGGGTGTGTGGGCAACAGCTGGAGCATTCTGCCCCCCGCCCCCATCTTACATAGGGATTTGTGGAGCATTCT